GAAGATTATTTTGAGATAGTTCATTTTTTTCACTTAATTTTTTCTGAATCTCTGCTCTGAGAATGAATTTTGGGGAAATTAATTTTCAGTTGAATCTCTGCCCTTTGTAACTCAATGCTTTCTATTCATTTTGGGACAAAGAACTTCCCATTGTGTTTCAACTCCTATATTCTTGCAAAAGCTCCTATAGCCACTGTGACCGGTCTTCACTGCCCACTGTACTTGCCTGGGGAGGAAGCTAAACTTGAGCCTGCCTGCCTGTCTGGACCCTGACTGGTTTTTTCAGACCGAGTTACCAGCCTGTTAGTGGGTCATGGAAATCCATTTAGTGAAGCCAAAATTTTTTAAAAAGGGAATAGAGAAGAAAAAAAAAAAAGGGAGTTGGGGAGAGGGAAGAAAAAGAGAATAGAGCATTACCACCTTGCCTTTCATAGGGTATTAGTTGCTGAAACTTTTCTTTTGGTTGTTTAGGAGTGTGTGAGTGTGTGTGTGTGTGTGTTTGTAGTGCATTTCAGTGTAAAACGTATTTCTAGCTGTGGGTTGTGGTCAAAGTTTGAATCCTCTTTGTTTTTTGGACAAAAATTTCTTTGCAAGACTTTGAACTTCTCAAAACAGTGAACATCTCTTGTGTTTACTTATTGCAGTCTGTGGCACATAGCAGCTCGAGGAGCAGTGTTTGATTAGGGAGGGAAGGAGGACACATGGAAAAAGGCACTAGCCTGGAAAGGTTTTCACTCAAAACCTTGTGTGGCATGGTGGCCCCTGGGAGAACGCATGTCTGCCCACAGAACGGAAAGGATAAGAGCCAAAAACTCCAGCGTACGCTGTCTCTTCACGTGTTTGGATCATGCTTTGAGTCTTTGCTGTATCTTGGTTTTCTATGTCTTACTGTCTACGTTTTTGCCAGGTCGAGGAGATGACATTCATTTGTAAGGCCTTCCCTGTAAAAGTGAAATCCACGTACAATAAGGTGCCACTTTCCACAAGGTAGACAAAGCCAGGTAAGACTGGATTGGTAGAACTAGTGGAGGAGCGAGAGAAGGGGAAAGGGCCGACTTTCACCTGCAGTTTAAAAGGGCATGTTTCGAAGCCAGTGTGCTGTGTTATTTCATGCCACATCATTTTATTTATTTTGAAATCCCAAATGCTGTTTAAAGGAGGACAGTATATTTTGTGTTTATTAGAAGAGAAACATAGAATGGCTCATGGCACCAATTTCATAATACTCAGACCTTGTATATTTTTCCAGTCATTACTGAAAACCCCTTCCCGTCTAGTTGATCTTGGCTGGTAGCAGTTCTATAGGACACAGTAAGATGGTGCCATAGGGTTTCCAAGGAGCTCTGGTAGCATAGTGCCTAAGGCATTTAACTGCTAACCAGAAGGCTGGCGGTTCAAACCCACCAGCCACTCCTCGGAAGGAAGGTTGGGCAATCTACTTCCGTAGTGATACTGCCTCAGCAACCCAAGGAGGGGTCGCTATGAGTCGGGGCCGACTCGACGGCACATAACAGCAACAACAACAGTCTTTATGGAAGCAGACGATCTCATCTTTTTCCCGATCTTGAGCTGCCAACCTATCAGTTTGCTGCTGTTTACTTTAACCACTGTGCCACCAGGGCCCCTTAGCCATTACTTAAGGATATGTGAATACTTTATGTTGCCATTGCATTAATTCTGACTCATAGTGGCCCTGTGTTCAATAGTACGAATTGTTGCCGGGTTCTGCACAACCCTTGCCATGTTTGAGCCCATCATGGCAGCCGCTGTGTTGTTCCATCTCACACAAGGTCTCTTTCGCTTTTAAGAGTTGTGATTTTCTTTTGGGTCCAGCAGGGATGGTAATCACTACCTCAGAGGGCGGTTAGGATTTAATAGTGAGCACTTACCACCCTGCCCGAGCACGGGACATGCTCTTGGTACAACCCTGTTGAGTCCCTGGGCCACCAGGTAAATTGAATGAGATACCCGTGCCCGGCACTGATGGCTGCTGGGCTGAGGCTGAGTGCAAAGCCAGTTTCTTCATCTCCTCCAGGGAAGAATCTTTTTCATCCTGTTCCTTCTGGATGAAATTCTCTCATTTTCGTTTGTAATGAATTTAAACTGATGCCTTTGTATTTTGTGACAAAGTGTAACTTCCTGAACAGTGGGTGCGGTGGGCAGGCAGCCTTCGCATTTCCGTTCCTGGAAAGGCATTTCCATTGCTTTGCTTCGGGTGTGTCCTCCCACCTGGATGGTTTGTCTCCCAGGTGAAGCTTCTCCACAGTCCAGCCACTCACTTCCTTTCCTTCCATCCTAATGTTGAGATCTATTGATTTGTCAGCTGCAGGCAGCGTGCCACAGGGTCTGTGGGCAGTGTCACGTGATGGACACTTGGCCCACCGAGTTCATGTGACTGCTTGAAAAGGTGAAAGAGAAGGCCCATTGGCTTTTCTTCTGTTTCCCTTAAATGTTACTAATACAGATTCCTCTCAGCCCCAGAGTGGCTATACCTTTTATCTTTGTTTGAAGAGGAGGTTTTAGTGTCCATAATTAGACTTCTGTACTGTGCTTCCTCCCCTCCTGCACCCGGACACCCCCAGTTCCTCTGCCTGGTCCACCTTCTCTGCGGGTGGCAGCTCTCATCTCCTCACAGGCCACATGGGAGTCTCCTCTCTTGTGGAGCTTTTTCTAATCTCTTCAGGGTTGGTTTGGCACGTTTGTCTGTCTTCCTGCCCGCCTGTCTCTCGCTCTCACCTCCCTGCCCCTGTATACGTAGTTCCATCCTGACGGCTCTAACACTGCCTTGACCTTCCTTATTTATTTGTCAGTGTCTCCACGTGCTGCAGTGCGGACAGCCGGTGTTCTGTGTGTGCCCCTGGGCAAAGCATGTTCCTGGGTTCCTGTGAGTAGCTTTGTAAAGCTTGGCTGAATAGATAGTGTGGGAGCCTAGGAGAAAGACATCCTCCCTCCCCTGCACCCTGTCTCTCATCCACACACACTCTCATGCATACATTCTTCTGGGAATGCCGGGTTTCTGGCAGCTTCTGCCTTCAGAGTTCAATGAGGAAACAGGCAAAGGCTTCCCAGTGACAGGACAGGGATGAATAATGACCATTAACTCTGTGAGGACTTTGCTCAGTTTCCCACCCACTCCCTTGTGTGTAAAGTGAGAAAACAAAACTGTGACTGTGGACTGACAACAGAGACAGTCTTCTGTGGACGGCAAATTTGTAAATATCATCTTTGGTACATGACTCGTCCTTAATAGTTGAGCACTGTACTTTCCTTGTTGTTCATAGCGAGTGTAAATCATTAGAAAAAAGAAAAGATGGAGGAGTAGGGAATTGTCAGGGTCAATATATTCTGTTAAGAAATCTGGCATTATAATTACATATGCATATATGAAGGCGCTCTGGTTGCACAGTTGTTAGAGCATTCAGCTGCTATCCAAAAAGTTGGCTGTTCAAACCCTCCAGCCACTCTGTGGGAGAAAGATGAGGCAGGCTGCATCTGTAAAGACTTACAGCTTGGGAAACCCCTAAGGGGCAGTTCTACTCTGTCCTGTAAGGTTGCTCTAAGTTGGATTTGACTCAGTGGCAGTGGGTTTATATGTGTGTGTGTGTGAATATATGTTGCAACATTCTTGTCAAAAATTAGTAAAATGTATCCTTTCAATTAATGGTATGGATATTAACTAATATATTTATGTAGGCCAGTTTAGGGACCTCTGGTGGCATAGTGCCTAAGGCATTTGACTGCTAACCAGAAGGTTGGTGGTTCAAACCCAGCAGCCACTCCTCAGAAGGAAGATTGGGCAATCTACTTCTATAGAGATACTGCCTTGGAAACCTGAGGAGGGGTCACTATGAGTCAAATTAACTTGACAGCATTGAGTTTTGGTGTTTTTTTTTTTTTTTTTTTTTTTTGGGGGGGAGGATAGTTTATCAACTTGTGTGTAAGGGCGTGTACAAGGTACTGTGTTTGTGTGTCAGACATACAGAAAGCACCTCTCTTCCGTAGCAGACTTTAGTAGCTTGAGTGTGGCCACTTGTCCATGCCATCAAAAGACTCCACCCTCCTGTGAAATATAGGTCTAAACTTAATGGATGAAAATACATAATATTATTCCCATCAAAAGAGAAAAAGGGAAGGGTGTGGTGAGTATGCAAGAAGGAGAGAGAGAGAGAGACACTAGCCACTAACTGGCCCTCTCAAATTAAGAATAACCTTACTGTTGAATGCATATAGAATTGTGTGGAAACTATTAATCATTTTACACATTTATTTTGATAAATATGTAAAGAAATAGTATTTTAACTTGGTATCTACCCTGTTGTTTACCATGAATGAAGCATTCTGATAAGTGATAGTTAAATTACAAAGAATAAAGTTTGATTTTAAACGTTTTATTGAAAAGGCTTAATTTACTATCTTCACAGTTTGAGGAAGTACCCACAAAGCCCTTTCAGATGTTTCCTAGCTATGGTCAAGGGTCACTTGTCTCTTGAGTAAATGACTCCTGCAGGTGATGAACAAAAGGATCTGGAAGATGAAATACACACTTGCACTTTGAAAAAGGACTTTCATCAAAGTCAGACTCGTGTAACAAGTTGTTATTGTTAGGTGCTGTTGAGTGGGTTTTGACTTACAGTGACTCAGTATACATCAGAATGAAATACTGCCCGTCCTACACCGTCCTCCCAAGGGGCGCTGTGTTTGAGCCCCTTGTTCTAACCACAGTGTCAGTCCATCTCATTGAAAGTCTTCACCTTTTATTATTCTTATAGCTAGGTTATAAGGAATGAATTTTCCACAAATTTCAGAAATTCCTCGATTGTTTGAAGTTTTCATCTATAGTTAAAGAATAATTTTTCATCCCTGTTTTTAAACTCCAGCTCATGGTGTTCGGAATTTTTCTGTGCCTGGATGCGTTTCTGTATGTGTTCACACTGCTTCCTTTAAGAGTTTTCCTGGCCCTCTTTCGACTCTTCACATTGCCTTGCTATGGCTTAAGGTAAGTTTAAGATCAGCAATTATGTTAAATGTTTAATTTCCTCATTTTTACTAGTGGTGCTTATTAAATAATCACTTGGACCAGTTTTGCACCAGTTGAGGTAATTGGTGCAGTTTCATTCACACTTGGGCCCTTAATGCTTCCAATAAGGATGTTTCTCTTTTAATGGATAATATATGATATGTTTATATAGTATTTTACTTTTTATGTGCACGTTTTTTTTCCTGGAATGGTCTAGAACCAAAATCTTGCTTTAGCCAGTAAATAATGTTAATAATGTTAAAAAAGCAGGAGGCAGGCTGAGAGCTTTGCAGTAGAGAAGACAGGGCCCAGGCTGAGAGTCAAAGGCCTGACTGCCCCTTGTGTAACTCACCCTCTGCCTTGAGTCCCTTGAAGGCCTGGGCCTTCTAGCCCAGTGAGGACTGGGCTCTGGGCTGAGGAGGTGGCAGGTGGGTATAAGAATCTCCAAAGGAACTCTTACTACAGAGATTCCTTCTTCCACCTGTTTGAGAGTCTCTATAGGTTACACTCCCTCTGACATACGCACATGGGAAAAACTCCTGAAAGGTCATTGTCATAGTGGGAGGATTGACAGGTGCAATCCCACCCCCAGCCAACACTGAGTAGCAGGTGAGCTGGGGGCAACTAACTACCTAACTTCTCTAACCTTGTTTCCGTATCAGTGAAGAGGAGACATTGAGAGCCCATCATGTTTTACCACTGTAATTTGGAGATGTGAAAAAAATACACAGTGTGGTAAATGGTTCTTAGTAGATCTGAACAAATGTTATTTCCCATCCGTTTCTTCTCCACCAAAACTAGAAACAGTGAAGTGAATCTCATTACTTGAATCATGGTGTTTCATGGGCTCAAGGTTGAAAGAAGTTTGAGTTTACAGTTTTCTTTCTTTGTCTGGTTATGTCAGTAAATCTCCACTCTAGTGTCATCACTCTCGAGGACATCATCATTACCGAGTTCCTGGTATAGTTGCCCAACTTATATTTCCAACATGTATTACCTTGCTAGATACATTTCATTCAGGAAAAGTTTTAAAATGTTATAGTGAACAGTAATTTGTGAAATTTCATTGAACTATAAAGTAGGTGACTATTCCGTGCTTTATAAAATATAATTAAAATGGTTATCAGTAATGTAACCATGAAAACTGAGTTGAAAAATTACTGCTCTACATACAGAATAGTAAATTGGTGTTTTAAACACTGAACCCTTAGAAGATTCTCTTTTAAAGTCGTAAATAAGCATACACTTAATATTTAGTTCAGCACTAAATATAGTCCCTTTAAAAAGGAATCTTAACCAGGTTTGATGAGGAACTTCCAGTATTAATTGGATGAATTTATTGATTATGATTATCGTACATTAAAAAGAGTGAAAAAGTCTTTTTACGATACTGCATGGAGTAAAGCCGTTGTAAAAATTCAGATGACATTGTTATTTTATATTCTGTAGTTTTCCTAGTCTTTCTGGAAAGGAGAAAATTATGTTATATCTTTAATTACATATTAATCAAGTGGAAGGGTCTTCTTAGGAATTTAACCATCAGCTTTAAGATATTTCAAGCGCATCCTTTATACTTCAGGAAGAATTTAAGAAAGGTTTTATTCTGGCTAGCTAACCTTTTTTTTAAAAAAAAATTATTGTAATTTGCCTGAAAATTTACAGAGCAAATCACTTTCCATATAGCAGTTCACGTATACTTTGGCTCATGACATTGACTAGTTTACCACGGTGCAACAGCTCCCCTACCACTTCCTCCCAATAGTTACCTCTTCCCTGTATCCATCCCTCCATGTACTCCTGCCCCCTGAGCTGTCTCCCTGTGCATACACAGCCCTTCTTTCTCCCTGATTGTTCTCTCCAAGGAGTGTATCTACCTCAGGTAGATGTTCAATTCATATGCCTATCTTTTATTTGTCTGGAAGCCACAGGTGTGGGTTCAATTCCAGACCTGAAGGGCAGCTAGGGGCCATAGTCTCAGTTGTTTCACCAGGCTCTATCAGACCAACAAACCTGGTCCCCCCCCCCTTTTTTTTTCCAAATGCTTTTCAGTTTTTTTCCACATTGTTTTCCCTCTCTATCCAGGATCTCCTACATAGATCCCCCTCCAAGTTGTTAACAGTGGTAGCCAGGCACCATCTAGTTCTTCTGGTCTTAAATAGCCTAAGGATCGCATGGTGTACCAGTTGCTTGGACTAATTGTTTCCACGAATGTTTGATTTTCTTCGTTCTTCTTTGCTCTGGATGAAGAGAGATCCATCGTTGCATCTAAGTGGCTGCTTGCAAGCTTTTAAGATCCCAGTCGCTACTTGCCAAAGTAGGAGGTGGAACAATGTTTTGTGTAGTATGTTACGCCAGTTGAGCTTGATGTCCCCTGTGACTGTGGTCTGGAGCCCACAGGTTCAACTACTCGATCTCTCTGGGTAGCTGGCTGTGACCAAGAAGTGACTACAACCTTGTCCCTTGTCCGGTCTACTATATACCTAGGAATTCATTTCATACAAATACACTTATAGGACCATTGTCTGCCAACCCTATACATGGTCTTGAGTACACTTCCCGCTTCATGTTGTTGTTGTGTGCCGTCGAGTCGGCCCCGACTCATAGCGACCCCTCCTTGGGTTTCCGAGGCAGTATCACTACAGAAGTAGGATTGCCCAACCTTCCTTCCGAGGAGTGGCTGATGGGTTTGAACCGCCAGCCTTCTGGTTAGCAGTCAAGTGCTTTTAGCCACTATGCTACCAGAGCTCCCGCTTCATAGACATACCTAATAGTTCAGGCTGTCCACCCTTCTGTCCACCTGTATACCCATGTTTGCCTTCATTGACAACGCAGTATTGTATGTGCAAAAGCGTTCATCTTTGTTGTCTGTACCTCCCATGTACCTCTGTATGTCTTCCTCTTCCTCAATGCCACCATGTTGATCACTCACATTTGATACATTGCCCTTCTCTTCACCCAAATAAATACTTACCTCTACCTATCTAATAGTGTTCCCCACCCTCCCCACCCACCCCTGGTAACCAACAAAGAAAATTTCCTTCCATAGATAAACCTTTCCTTGACTTTTACAATAATGGACTAATACAATATTTGTCCTTCTGTGATTGACTTATTTCACTCAGCATGATGTCCGTTATGCGGTGTTTTGGAGATTCTGGGTTATTCTTTAGGGATGCATAGTATTCCATTGTGTGTATGTACCACACATTGTTTGGTTATCCATTCCTCAGTTGATGGACACCTAGGTTGTTTCCATCTCTTGGCTGTTGTAAATAGTGCTGCGATGAACATGGGTGTGCATATGTCTGTTCTTGTCATGGCTCTCACTTCTTTAGGATATATATCTAGTAATGGAAGGCTGGGTCAAATGGTATTTCTAATTCCAACTTTTTAAGGAGGTGCCGTACTGCTTTCCACAGTAGTTGTACCATTTTATAGTCCCACCAGCAGTATATGAAAGTCCCAATCTCTTGTTATTTTCTATTTTGTTGAATTGCTGCTAGTGCTGGAGCAAGATGGTATCTCATTGTTGTTTTGATTTGCATCTCTAATAGCTAATGATCATGAGCATTTCTTCATGTTTGTTGGCCACCTGAATATCCTCTTTGGTGAAGTGTCTATTCATGTTTTCTGCCCACTTTTTAATTGAATTATTTGTCATTTTGTTATTGAGGGGTTGGAGTTTTCTATAAAATCTAGAGATAAGTCCATTGTCAGATATGTCATTGTCAAATATTTTTTCCCAATCTATAAGTTTTCTTTTGACTCTTTTGGAGCAGTCTTTGGAAACACATAAAAATTTAATTTTTAGAAGGTCCCATTCATCTAGTTTCTCTTCTGCTGTTTGTGCATTTTGAGTTATGCTTGATAGTCTATTTATGCCATATATTAGGGCCCCTAAATTTGCCCCTAGTTTTTCCTTGAGGAACTCTATAGTTTTAGGTTTCACATTTAAGTCTTTGATCCATCTGGAGTTTGTTTTTGTGTATGGTATGAAGTACAGATCTTGTTTCCATTTTTCTGCAAATGGATCTCCAGTTTTGCCAGCACCATTTATTAAACAAACATTCTCTTCCCCATTTAATGGATTTTGGCCCTTTGTCAAAGATCAGCTGACCATAGGTCAATAGATCTATTTCTGGGTTCTCAATTCTATTCCATTGGTCTATGTGTCTGTCATTATAACAGTGCCAGGCAGTTTTGACTACTGTGGCTGTATAGTAGGTTTTGAGATCTGGCAGTGGGAGACTTCCTACTTTGTTTTTTCTTCTTCAATAGTGCTTTGCTTATCCAAGGTCTCTTTCCTTTCCATATAAAGTTAATCATTGGTTTTTCCATATCCTTAAAAAATGTTGATGGGATCTGGATGAGGATTGCATTGAATGTATAGATTGCTTTGGGTAGAATTGACATTTTTACAGTGTTCAATCTTCCTATCCACGAGCATGGGATATTCTTCCATTTATGTAGATCTTTTTGGTTTCTTGAAGTATGTTTTTTTTTTTTTTTTTGAGTAGTGAAGAAAGAGATTTTATTTGGCACATGCAGAAGAGAAAACAAAGTGGCAAAGACAGACATGTCATCAGAACAAGGTCTGTTCAAGTCAGAAGAACATTACAAAGCCAACCAAAACCCAAATCAAACACACTGCCATCTAGTGGATTCTGACTCATAGCTACCCTAATAGGACAGAATGCCATCCATTTGCTTCTTTCTGACCATTAAACAGGCATTGTGGCTATGCATAGACAAATTCCAGGACAAATTTAGTCAGGGGCAGTTTGCATTCAGGAAGAGTATGGTTGAAAGCAGATTATGTACTCATAAAGAACTAAGGAACTTGCCTGAGAGTGTCCTTTTCTAATTTAAATTAAGGTCCAGGTCTTGGTATTGTTTGATAGCCCACCTTGTGGCTGAGACTCAGGCTTTCTGGTGATGAGTCACAGCCTGGGTGGACCATTACTTAGCCAGCTAGTCAG